AAAATTTATAATCATAATATAATATATTAAATAGATATAATGTGGTATTAAATGAATTAATGCATGGAAATTACAAATAAAATATTAAATAAAAAATATTTTCTCAATATTAAGTCCTCTTTTTATCTAACAAGACTAACTATTGAGTAACAAAGTCAAATAATGACAAACAAATAAATTTCTTTAAAAATGGAAAATCAAAATTTTTTAATAATTAAAATATTAAAAAAATATTTAAATATTTTGAAATAAATTAAGATGTAAAAAAATTAATAAATACACACATTTAAATTTAATAATATTTTAACAATTTCATCAACAGACATAGTGATTTCCACTTTTCTCTTTCAATATTCTCATAAAATATAACAAGAAAAATATAGAAATGTAGAAAAAACGAGTACACAACCTCAAAATCAAAGAAAAAGGAAAAAACTCAAGCTATTTTGGTATCAAGATACATCTCCCTCTTGCGGGTGTAATTAACCAGCAATTTCTCCAGTTCGGGGAGGTTTTTACTGATCACGGGATGCTCTCTGAAGTTCTGAGCCCAACGATGCAGGCGAGGGAAGCTCTCGGCGTCAAATATCGTCATCCCCACGATTTGTTCGATAACCCCGAGGGAGGTAGCGAGGACTCCCCAGGCGAGATCTGCCATGCCGATTTCGTCGCCACCAAGAAATTTCTTCTCGCCGAGGGCTTTCTCTTCAATCGTCTTCAGTGCCTCCCTTACTTCCTTCGCTGCCTTCTGCTGTTCCTCTCCGACGCCGATGAAGAATAACGTGAATGCAAGTCCCTGCATTCATTAGAAATACATCAATTTCATGAATTAAGAAAAAATATGTACCGTACAAGGAAAATACATTTCATTTCAAATAACTTTAAAAAGATTTTGAACTTATTTGATGAAATTAAGTAGTTGAGGCTGTTGAGTGACTCAATTAAAACTAGATTAAAGATTTAGGTTTTGGTTTTTAATATTTACAAATAGAATGTTTTTGGATTAATTTTTATATATTTTGAAATTAATTATTTTTTAAATAATTATAAAAACATAAGTGTTTCACCTAAGCTGCGGTGGTAATCTTTTCCTTTTTTAGTGAGATTGAAAAGTTTTGAATACAAGTCTGTGAGTGTAGTTTAAATTTTTTAATTTTTTTACTATTCTCTAGTTTGTTAGTATGTTTTATTTAATTATTTGTAATAAATATATTATTTTAATATTTTACAATCAAAATTATACACCATCAATCATCAATTAACGAGGACATATCTCCACATTCAACTAACTATTTAAATATTTCGTAATTTGATATCCTTCTTCATTCGCGTATAAACTTCGCTTAGAAAACAAAAAGGTAAATATCATAAAGGAATTTATAAACACAGAAGAAATCAATTACCTTGTCATCACAGAATTTGGTCCAGAACCGCGCCATAGCCTTCTCATAGGGATCTTGGGGAAGCAGGGGATTCTGCGGCCACGTCTCCTCAATATACTCAATAATGACCGGAGACTCGACGATGGGTTTTCCGGCGTGAATAAGAACCGGAATCTTCTTGAGGATTGGATTGTACTTCAAAAGCATGTCGCTCTTGTTGAGTAGATCTTCTTCTACATATTCGTATTCCACACCCTTGAGTTCAAGTGCCCATAACACCCTGTATGCATATGGACTAGGCCAAGATCCCAACACCGTTACTTGTTCCATTTTCTCCAATGAATTTGTATTTTGCTTCTAGCCATGGCGAGTTAAGGAGATATTTATAGTATTTTTTTTTTTGTTTGGTTGCTTGGAAAATTAGGCCATTGATTTTTCTAGATGACTTTACCAAGACAGGGATAATTGTTTATTTTATTTTTTTTCGGACATTATTGACTGGACTCTCCTACTGATTGCATAATGCCAAGACGGTTGACAAGTTGCAACGACTAAAATATGAGGTGTCTTTCCATGATGTTTCGCGAGTCTTCTCATATGTAGTTTTATGGCTTTTCTCCCTTTTTTCTTTTTTTTTTTTCTTTTTAATTTGAGAGAAGGGATGAAAATTATTACGATATAATTAACTATAATATTATAATTATAATATGATCTAAGAATATAAATTTATAATTATAAAATAACATTAAATCAATTGATATATATAATATATACTTAAATAAAAAGAAAAAAAATTATATAATGATATATATTTTATTATACACTTATAATATTACAAATATTATAATTATATAATTATCGTTTATAAAAATATTATTGTTTTAATGTCACATAAGACTAAAATTTATAATCATAATATAATATATTAAATAGATATAATGTGGTATTAAATGAATTAATGCATGGAAATTACAAATAAAATATTAAATAAAAAGAATCAATTATATAATAATATATAATATTATATAATTATAATATTAAAACTAACGACTTGTTAGTCCGAATAGAGGGAACTTGATTTCTTTAAGTAAGATTTAGAGTTTGACGGCTTAATTCAATTTTTAGTCTATTAACTATTACCTTGATTTCATTTTAGTCTAGAAATTATATTTTATTTCTAAGTGGTCTATTAACTTTCAGATTCATTTCAATTTCGTCTACTTGATCAAAGATAACGGAAAACTTCCTATTTAGAGAACAATTAGTCCTCTAACTATATTTTTTTTATCTTTTAGTTCTCAAATTTATATTTGTTATAAAAATAGCTTTTATATTTAAAATTATTATTTTTAAGCTCTGATACCATATTTTTATACTTAAAATTATTATTTCTAAGTGGTCTATTAACTTTCAGGCTCTAATACCAAATTAAAGAAATAGGAAAACTTGTATAAAAATCTGGTATCAGAACCTATAAATAATAATTTTAAGTAAAAAAATATTTTTATAACAAAGATAAATTTAAGGACTAAAAGATAAAAAAAAAATATAGTCAGAGGACTAACTATTTTCTAACAGAATAGGAAGTTTTCCGTTATTTTTGACCAAGTAGACGAAATTGAAATGAATCTGAAAGTTAATAGACCACTTAGAAATAAAACATAGTTTCTAGACTAAAATGAAATCAAGGTGATAGTTAATAGACTAAAAATTAAATTAAGCCGAATTTGACTATTGTGAATGGAGAAACAGACGTTAGGGGAGTTTCTCCCCTAATGGAATCCTAACCGACTTAATTCCAAATTAGTTAGGATTCAATGTAATTATCGGATACCGAGAAGTTAATACTAAAAAAAATTATAATATTAAATGATATTACTTATATTATTTTATTCATTTAACAATTTAATTTAGTTAATTGAAATAATATTACTTTCTCTCTCTTTCTCTTCTATTCTTTCTGTTTCTTTCTGACTAAAACTCAAGCTATTGACGCCATAAATTTTTGCTCCAAAAATTTGTGTTGAAGTGAAGAATAGAGTCGATTCATAAGGAAATATTGTCCTTTTTAATCCACGGTTAAATCTGTTCTCAAAAAAGCTTTGTTAACACAGATAAGCAAGAACAATTATCTTTAATAATTTGTTTCCAAGATTGAGCCTATAGCTAGGTTGGAGATATATTTCATATTTAAATCTTGAGTTTGAAGAGAAAAAACTATTATTTTCACATAACTCATTTATTAGACGTTAAAAAAATAAAAAAGAAATGAATAAAAAAGGTGGAACAGGATGCCATTATTATTTATTTATAGGAAATTTAATCTTATTCTTTCAGCTTGAACACTACTAAAAATAGTTGTTAAAGTAGGAAAATCTAATATAAAATTTTTAGTAAGAAAACCTGTATGGTTATATATGTGTCTATATATATAGTAACAATTATTTTATTAGTGTAAATTTTAAAAACTCTTATATTAATTTTTAATTATACATTTAAAAATTTAAAGAAATGTTTTGAAAATTTCACTACTAGAAACAATATTTTTCGGACTGAAAAATTGGTTTGAAAATATTGGACATTGGTGTAAATAAGTTTATGCAAACCGTTATTGATTCGGATATTCAATTTGAAAAAACTTGATTTAAATAATTTTAATTTCAGAACAACAAAAAATCAATCTGAATAAATTTAATTTTTAGACCGATTTTGGTTTGGATAAAGATCAATATTTTGACCAACAACAAGCTTGACCCAGACCAAAATCGGTATGAATAAATATGATTTTTGAACCAACAATAGTTTGAAAAATATTGGCCTTATTTAGAAAACTGGAAATATTAGGTCCTTATATGTCAGTGTGGTGAAACTATTTTCAGACCAAAATTGGTCCGAAAACTGAGGCCTTATTTAGAAAAAGAAAAAAGTTTGGTCCTCCTATGTTGGTATGCTGAAACTATTTTCATAACAACATTGGTCCAAAAATTTGCAGCCCTATTTACAAAAATAAAAAAGTTCAGTCCTTCTCTGGCATTATGCTGAAACTATTTTCACTATTCGAAAGATATCCAGGCCAATTACGGTTTGAAATATAACTGTACAAAATTTAAAAAAAAATTATTTACTTAATATATTATATGTGTAAATAATTACAAAAAATATATTTTTTTGTATAAAAATATTTATGCATTCTAAAAACTAAAAATAATATATTAGATATTATATAATATTTACATGTATAATATTTCTTAAATTAAAAAGAAAATGTACAACATAGAAAAAATTAAAAGCAAAACATCCCCATAATAATTGAAACATAATTTCTTAAATATAATTTCAAAAAAAATAATAAAATTTATAATATAAAAAAATAATCCAAGCTATTTTTAGACCTTGAAAGTTTAATTATTTCCTACAAAAATAAATGAAATGTACAACATAGAAAAAATTAAAAGCAAAACA